ATTGCTGGTGGGAGTGTAAAATGATGCAGCCACTGTAGAAAACAGTTTGGTGGTTCCTCAAAAAGTTAAACATGGAATTACCATATGATCCAGCAATTCCACTTCTAGACATATACTCAAAAGACTTGAAAGCAGGGACTTAAATGCATACTTGTACACCAATGTTCATTGCAACATTATTCACACTAACTAAAAGGTGGAAATAACCCAAGCGCCCATCAGCAGATAAACAAAATGTGGTGCATACATACAATGGAATATTATTCAGCTAGCTATAAAGAAAAATAAAACTCTGATACATGTTATGACATGGGTGAACTTGGAAAACATTTCATGCTGAATAAAATAAGTCAGACATCAAAGAACACATATTGTATCAACCCATATTTTTTAAACGTCTACAAGAGGCAAATGCATAGAGACAATACTTTATTAGTGATTACCAGGAACCAGAGGAGAGAGAAATGGGGAGTTATTACTTAGGGCTACTGAGTTTCTGTTTAGGATGATGAAAAACTTTTTGAAGTGGATAGTGGTGATGGCTGCACAGTATAACGAATGTAATTAATGTCACTGAATTGTACACTTAAAAATGGTTAAAAAGGCAAATATTTTGTTATATATATATTTTACCACAATAAAATTTTTAAAAATCTTGTTAAAAGTAATATCTCTTCCGTTGCTCTTTCACCAATAAAAATTTTCAAAATAAAACTATCCAAGGAGTAAAAACGATAAAGTACATTTAAGTACACCAATGTCTGATGAGTTTATACAACAAATCTCTGCTGTTTCATTAGTGCTGCAGTTTTCTTGCCTTTTTTTCCTAGCACGTTTTTTCAACATGATACGTACTGTCCTATGTTTCCATGATACAATAAACACAGTATTCTTTCACAAAAATTTAAACAGTCGATGCAAAAATCATTACTTGAAATAATCACCAATTTTTATACCAATTTACAGGAAAGATGGGAAAACAAACACATTATCTGTTCATATAGATTTGTATTCATGTGTTTAATTTGCTTAAAAAAACTGTAAAGGGAAAAATAAAAGCAACAAAAATGTATTCAGGGGCATATTTTAGCGTCTATATATAATTACAGAAACCCTGGTGGCCTAGTGGTTAAGAGCTATGGCTGCTAACCAAAAGGTCCGCAGTTCAAATCCACCAGGCACTCCTTGGAAACTCTATGGGGCAGTTCTACGCTGTCCTATAGGGTCACTATGAGTCAGAATTGACTCGACAGCAACAGGTTTGGTTTTGGTTTTATATATAATTACAATGTTTTTAAAAGGACTTTCATAATATCGAGATATTGAAGGTTAGGATTGGTTTCATGTGGGAATGAATAGGCTCAGGGTGCTTAATTTTAAAGAAAACTTTCACTGCCCCCCCGCCACGAGTGTTTTCTGAACTCTTGCTAATACCTGACACCCCTTTCCAATAGTACAAAATCTTCTTTTCACAAATGTAAAAAAACTCAGGAAGAGGTAAAACATTAACTTCTATTTGTAAGTTACTGTTAAAAATAACTGGTGCCTCTGGGTGAACTCACGCCTCCAACCTTTCAGTTAGCAGCCAAGCACATTAATCGTTTGCACCACCCAGGGGCTGTTAGCAACTAAGAAAGGCAGGTTTGAGAGCAGACAGAGGAGGAAGGTCCCATGGGCACTTCCACATGGGCAGAATGAGGACGCAGAAGCGAGGCACCACCTAAGTACACTTCAGAACTTTACCCAAGGTTGTTAAATCATGACTGTGCTTGCATCATCATTTTAAAAAAGAGAAAATGAACCTAACTACGTGTTGTCAAGTTGAATCCAACTCATGGCAACCCTAGGTGTGCAGAGTAGAACTGCTCCATAGAATTTTCATGGCTGTGACCTTTCAGAAGCAGATAGCCAGGCCTTTCTTCTGAGGCACCTCTGGGTGGGTTCCAACTGCCAACCTTTTGGATAGGAGTGAAGCACTTAACCATTTGTGCCACCAGGGCTTCCTATCATCATTTAAGTAGGTTTTAGATGTTCCTTAAACTGGTATCCAGGGTCTCCATGGATTTGTGTGTGCGTGTGTGTGTGCGTGTATGTATTTGAGGCCCCAAACTCTATACAAAATTTCATGTTTTCATTTTGATGCTGAGTACAAGGAAAATTTGTTTTGCTTATTGAAAATCCAAAATTTCTCTTTTGAAGTGATATTTAAAATTGGAAGACATTTATAGAGAGTAAAGTATTTAGTTCCTCAGGGTAGTATTCGTCAAACACGGGTGTTTAGAGGTCTAGGAACAGTCTGAAGGATTTTTTCCCCTTGAGCGTAAATTGTTCAAGTTTGAGAAACAAAGACTAAATAGGAAAACCTAAACAGAAAACACCTGTTCATGCTGGCGGTGAGCTCGGCATTTCCATTCAGTCTGAATCTATCAGGCTTAGAAAAGGAGAGCTCAAGAGACTTTCTGAAGCTCAGCAAGCAGAGCTTCAAGAAATGCCCAGTAAATAATTGTGTAGAGGATTCAGAAACCCACCACAAATATGATTGAAGAGCTAGGCTAAAGGGAAACGTTTTTCTGGAGATTAGCTTGGAGACAATAACATCCTCAGACTTCCTGGGATATAAACCTGAAGGTGCTTATTCTGCCATCAGAGTGCCTTGAGTGAGCCTGATAAAAACACAGGGGTTTGGCCCAGTCCCAGACCTACTGAATCACAATTTCTTGAGCAATCTGCTTTTTATTTTGTGCCCTACATGATTCTGCCGCACTTATAAAAGATTGAGTATTACCACTCAAGTTTAACAGGTAATTGTGCCACAATACAGCACCTACCCCTGGATAACCCTAATTCTTCCTCCCGTCTACTCCTACTCTCAGATGTAGTATATATTGAAAATGGTAGAAATATTGAATATAACTCAGGATCTCATTATGATCTGGGGTGAAGTCTCTTGATATATTTTCTCTTTCTCAAAATTCATCCCTAATTCATATATGTTTAAATAGAACAAATGTTGTTCTTCTTTTAACTAGAATTAAGTGACATTTACTTTTGATAATGTAAGAAAGTTAAAAAAACAAAACACCAAACCTGTTGCCATCAAGTCGATTCTGATTTGTAGAAAGTATATTCACTGGAAAAAGATTTGGAAAATACAGAAAAGCATATGGAATAAAATAAAAGGCATGAAAATTTCAGACCCAACTGGAACGTAAGCTCTGCAAAGACAGGGATTTTTGCTTTGGACACCTCTGTATCCACAGTGCTTTGAATAGTACTTTGCTTATAGTGTGGCCATCAAATAAAAATTTGTTGAATATAACTGAAAAGTCAGTGATAACCATTATTGATATTTTGACAAATTTCCTTTCAACCACTTATATCCATCCACGTCTCCTCCTTCACAAATAATAAACATCCATTTATGTAAGTATCCCCTGATGTTGCTTTCCTTAAGAGAAATTATACTAGTTTAAAGAACATGAACATTTCAAAAGAAAAAAAATTTACCAACTGCCCCCCAAAAAGCTTCTACCAATTTACAAACCAAATTTACACACCATGAATACTGTATCATATTGCCTTATTTATTTATTATTATTTGGTGTGCTTTAGTAAGTAATGTCCAGGTATTATAAAGTATAGCTTCCTATTTTTACTTGCAATTTTTTTCATGCTATGGTAATTTACATTACCTTTTTGGTAAATGTTTGGTAATTTCCTATTTGCCCATATTCTTAATGGAAAAAGAATCTACCATTAATTTTAATTGAATATAAGTTCTATTTATCAAATATTGCAAAAATTTCCTGAGTTGACATATGCCTTTTAATATTACAGGATTTTTTCCCATGTAAGATTTAATTGTTTTGTGGCCAAATTTATTATTTTCTTCTTATTTTTTTTTACACCCTGAGATAGTCTTAAGATTGTTGGAGGTTCATACCTATGCATTATGTATGAGGATGGTAGTTTAAATCAGAGCTCATGTTCATTAAGATGTCTTTATTTTGGGAAACAAAATGTAACTTATAGTACTAAATATGAATAAATAAATGCATGAAGGAAGAGATATTCTCAAGCTCTTACTTCTGTCCTTTTGCTATTGCAAATGCACTTTAAATCTAAGACCAGTTTATTTTGTCAATTAACTTCCAAATACAGTACCTTGAGAGAATACCAATAATATATTTAGAGCCTATAGATACAAGTTTATATTTCCCTGAACTTAGCAATTCACCTTGGCCATCACCATTTTAGGGTAGTAAAACCAGCTATAATGAGAATGCAATTGAATTCAGCTAAAATTTGTTATAAAAGAGACCAAAGGAATCTGTGTCTTCTTGGTTTGAAAGTGAGCCAAAAAGAAGGTCCAATTTAGGACAGTGAAAATTCACTTCAATTTTGATATTTAGGTGAAATAATGCATAGAAATTAATTTGTAACAGAGGAATTTATAGAATTCTCTCAGCTTATTATTCCGAAGTTTTGTATAAAGAGAGTTTTTATTTCTTTGTTTTTTAATAATCTGAGGTCACAGAACTACAGTAGAATTTACGGGAAAAAAAAGAGCATTGTCGTATACTGCTTTGCCAAAAGTCTTTATAAAATTTATTATGTTTCCTAGCGTTCCCTATACTGATGCAGTTTCTTACTCCATTTTTAACAAATTACAATGTATTTTTAAATAGCTAAAATAAGAATTTAGTTTTACTAAATATTTTTGTGAGTAGAAAACTTCGTTTAGTTAAAAATAGTCAAAACTCAGAGAAATTGAAACATAAGGTTTGTTCTGAGCAATTATTCTATATGCATATGAAGAGACCATTCTGATTCCAAAAAAAGCAAATGGCTCAAAGTAGGCTAGTTACAATGACGCTTATAAAAAGAAGAGGAAGGAGAACAGAAGATCAACCATTGGCTAATCTTAACATGATTGAACCCTGCCTTCCCCCTTTTACTGAGATCAACTGATATAAGGTCACAGGGTGGTCTCTGGCCCTCCACCCACCTGCAGTCATGATACCTTTTGAAATTTAAAATTAAGTAAACCTGGTTTAGAAGAGGAATGAAAATATTAGCAACTTTGAGTGATTTAGCAGGATTAATTTTGAGTCAGGAATTTTTATGGTTAATATTCGGTCTTGTAGGTAAGGAAAACCTTAAAATCAAAGTACGATGTCTGTTATTAATTTTTCTCTTTGACCATTTTTATTATATACCTGTATTGCATTATTGAATACGAGCAAGAAATACGGTATGAGTTCTGCTTTAGAATGCTTTGATTAGAATTTCCCTCCCGAGTCAATATGTGCTTTGAGGTAGGACCATACCTTGTAAGTCTGCATCCTCAGTGGCTAGGAATTTTATCTGACATGTAGAAACCAATCAAATCACTGTTGAAAGAATGAATCTGCAGAAGAGAACTATGGTTAGAAACAAAAAAGTTAGCCCTGTGTAGTCCAGCTTTAATTAGATTTCTGACTAGTCATAATAAAGGGAAGGAAACGATCAGGTTAGTAAACTCCACCAAATACCAACGACTAGGTCTGATTAGCATAACCCTCAGTAGAACAAGGGAATTTTATTGCAGTTGCCTAATTACTTACTGATCTTCCCCACTAGGAGAAGAGTTCCTTATCCAGGCTTCTCTGTATTCACAGGGCAGAGCTGCCTCTAAAGATAAATATTCATTGAATTACCCACCCACAAAGGACATAAATGAGTAGCTTAAAATCCCCTCAGGAAGTTATATCAGAAAGTATCTGCTTATTACTAGCTAAAAATATTATGCATGCTAATTCAAAAATAGTTAAATTGTGATTTATAAATTCACATTTTTAAAATTGATAAATGATGAGTCCTCATTTTTTATATCTTGGTTCAGCTTGGGTTTTTTTTATTTTGTTTTAGGTGAAAATTTACAGTGCAGATTGGTTTCTCATTCAAAAATTGTTTTGTGACATTGGTTGCAATCCCCTGCAGTGTGTCAGCACTCTCCCCCTTTCGTTTTCTACCCCAGGTTCCCTGTGTCCATTCATCCAGGTTTCCTGTCCCATCCTGCCCCCTTTTATGTTCTTGGGCAGGTGTTGCCCATCTCGTATACTTGATTGAACTAAGAGGCTCGTTCCTCACATGTCTTATTGTTTGTTTAATAGGTCTGTGTAATCTTTGGCTGAAAGGTGGACTCTGGGAGTGGCTTTAGTTCTGAGTTAGCAGGGCATCCAGGGGCCATAGTCTCAGGGGTTCACCTTGGTGTATTTGAGGCTACCAGACCTTAAATCTTCAGTTGCCAAATAAACTGCATCACTTTGAAGCTGTGGGAAAAATCAGGCTTTAAAGCAGCTTGGTTAGGAAGGCAGAGATGTTGACTTACTGCTTTAGAAGGTAAAGTTCATACACAAAATAAGGAGAATGGATGAGATAACTTTTTTTTTTAATTTCTCATACAAAAATTTATACATGTATTGTTATGTGACATTAGTCACAATCCCTATAATGTGACAGCACACTCCCCCTTTCCACCCTGGGTCTCTTGTGTCCATTCAAACAGTTCCTGTCCCTTCCTGCCTTCTCATCCTGCCTCTGGACAGGAACCGTCCATTTGGTCTCATGTATCTACTTGAGAGATAACTTCTAAGGTTGCATTTACTGGAAAATTCTAGATTTGTAAGTAAACATTCACAATCTCTCAATATATCTCACCATCTAAAGTTTATTACAATGGACACAAAAGATATATCCCTTTCCACAAACAATAAAAGAGAACAGAACACCAGGTAAAAAAAATGTAAGAAACTATTATCAAAATAGACTCCAAAAGGACTATTAAAAATACCTCAGTAAGAAGAGATTCAGTAGCGTATCATTTTCTTCAAATGGTTTCTTGGGTTATCTGATCCATTTTTATAAAACGAAGTTGAGATATCACCGGATTGTAAGCTCCACAAAGGCAGGGATTTCATCTATCCTTTTCATAGATAAGTGTTTAGTGTAACCTGTGTGCATTTAAAAAAAGAAAGTTACGGGCAGTAGTTCCTGACTCATGGCGACCTCATGTGTGTCAGAGTAGAACTGTGCTCCGTAGAGTTTTCAATGGCTGATTTTTCGGAACCAGATCATCAGACCTCTCTTTTGAGGTGTTTTCAGGTAGACTCCAATCACCAAGCACTTTAACTGTTTGTGCCACCCAGGTATGTCTGTCACGATATTCATGTAATGTTGGAAGTCTGAGGTATTCTTCCCATCCAGAAAGAAGCAGATTTAAATACGCACAAATATTTGAACAGCAGCCAACCCTAGAGTTCTTTGATTAACTTTTCTATACATGAGGACTTATGTGGAGGTTAAACAATGAAACATGAAGCAGTGCTGAAAGCCCTATTCCCACGGTGTGCCCTGATGGGGCTCCATAGAGCTTCTGGTACAGGTGTTCTGTGAATAGACTACAAGTGTGCTGCATACAGATGTGCTTTTACTGAGATATAGATCTTCCAGATCTCCATGCAGCCATAGCTTTTCAACAGTTGCCTCTTCCAGACAAGCTTTGTCTGTTTACCTCAAAGGGCTCTGTGTTGTTGTTAGGTGCAGTGGAGTTGATTTTGACTCATAGTGACCCCACGTGATAGCGTAGAACTGCCCCATAGGGTTTTCTACGTATAATCTTTACAGTGGCCTTGAACCACCAATCTTTTGGTTAGCAGCCTAGCATTTAGCTGTTGTGCCACCAGTGCTCCTTAAAGGGCTCTATAGGGGTTAGTTTTTAACTTCTGCTACTTCCTATATGATGCTGATAAATGAAGCTCTTAAACAAATAACAGATGTGGCCACATGAATTAGGTCTCTAGTATGTCCCACAAAGCTGAATAAACTGAATGGCTCAATTGGATTGTTTAGTTGGCTTGGGGGAAAAAACAAAAAAAAACTTAATTTTCATGACAATCAGTATCATTTGGCTTGTTGGGGGTACTTCCTGGTCTTGATGGTAAAGCCTACTTCATATGAGTGGAAGGCATACAACTAGTTCATTAAAAAAAAAAAAAAAAAAAATTAAAGACTGCTCTAATTTGGGTAAAAGTTCGAGAATGGGGAGTCAAGGTCCTGATGTACACCACTTGAGATGAAAATCTTCTGTCTGAAGACTTGCCTCGGAGGAACAGGCTTTGAGAAGTATTCAGAGACGACATTGCTTTCACAATGAAAGCGTGCAAGGTGTTATCTCCTTTTTACAGATGAAGAAACTAAAGTTCATGGGGGTAAAGGTGATATAATTTCATTTATTCTAGATGGTGTCTATGTTCCCTCAAGTTAAGACACTTGCTCAGGTAAGATACTTTGTTAACTGAGCCAATTCTTTGGCTGATGATGGGTCCATGTCTGGGAGACTGGACCAATAATTCTGCCCTTCCCTTCATTAGAAGTATCTATTGAGCTCTGTGAAAACACAGTAAAGGTAGATGCATCCAGGAATCCTTATTTTTTAGGAGCTCCCCAGCTGATTTTTCTGTAGCGATAGATTGAGAACCACAGACTAAAGGGCTACCCGTTTAAAAGCTAGTGGTAGCTGAAGAGTTAATTTAGTATAAATAATCAGAAAACATTCAGATCTAGAATACAGGGGCTAACACTGTGTTGGTAGCAGGCAAAATGCTCTCAGTGCCTTTTTCAATCTGAAGTGATCATCATATAACTCTATACTAGAGAGATTTACTGGCCGAAGACAAGTTCATAAAACTGTAAAACGAGGAAAACCTCATTAAGGCAATCAGTCAGTTTCAACCCCAGCAACATATTACGCTCATTTGGTGACAACTTTAAAAAATACTAATGTCCAGGAGTCACTACAGATCAGTTAAGTCTCCTGGCGTAAGCCTGCATGTGGGTACCTTTTTGAAGGTCCCTGGTGATTCCAGTGTAGCAGTGGTTGAGAGTCACTGTCTCAAGATTTAAAAGTGAGGTTCACTCTGTCACTTGATGGTTATTAGGCAACACTTCTCAAACTTTAACGTTCACAGGAATCACCTGCAGAGTTTGTTAAAAACGCAGATTCTATCTCAGTAGGTCTGGGATAGGGCTTGAGATTCTGCATTTCCCACAAGCCTGATGTTGATGGTGTTGGTTTGAGGACCACACTGAGTATCAAGGTCTGAGAGCACTGGTTCTTAAATGTGACTGCACACTGGAATCACCTGGGAAGTTTAAAAATAATATCAATATCTAGGTCCCACCCCTGGAGATTCTGATTTCATTGGTATGAGTGTGGTCTAGGCAACAGTATTTTTAAAAGCTCTTCAGGTGATTCTAATAGGTAGCCAAGTTTGAGCGCTCTTCCATAGGGAACTTATATACATTGAAGTAGCAAAGAACAATTAGTAAGCCATGAAAGAAGAAAGCATTATTATGGAATTAGTCTGCAAGGACTACTTAATTCAGAGCACCACTTGCAGCTGGTGGACCACATCTACAGATAGGTCTCATGGCTATAGACCAACTCTAAAAGTCAGAATTTCCAGTTTCTCTAGAAGATTTGGAAACTCTGCCACCACTGGATCTGCATTCCCTTGTGGTAGCAATCAGGTGGCTCTGAATAGGGGCTGCCTGTTTAGAAGGTATCTGCACTCTCCAGTGTGCCAGGCCCTAGCTATCCATTTCATTTACTTGTATTACCTGACTGACCCCTATGGGCAAATGAGTTTAAGGGCTCTGGGTTACACAATGCCTACTGCACATTGACTCCACGTCACTTGGCAGGACTAGCAAATCAAACACATTCACTCCCAGCATAATTGTCTTTAATCATGAGAGACTGTACATAAAATGAAAAACTAGCTAACTCAACAGAATTTTTAGACATTGTCCTGGTATATGTATTAACAAGCTGACCTTCCCCACAGCTGATACTCAGGAATATTCAAAGGCACACAGCAAGCAGCGGAGCCCATAAAAGTTCAGACATCTCAACTCCCAGCCCAGTAGTCCAGGTACTTAAACCTCTGTGCTCGAGGATAATAATAGGAACTACCTGACAGTTATGAGAATTAAATTAGATAACATACATAGTGCACTTTTCAAAGTGCCTAGCTCGTAGTAAGCGCTCAATTAATGTCAAGCTGTTGTTATTATTACGCATTCTGTACCCTCGCCCTTCACCTGCGCATAGGAGCTGAGTATGCCCAGTGCAGGTTGAGCATTTCTTTTTAGATAGCCAGACTTCAGTAAGCTCCCTCAAGCGCCTATAAGCTTGGAGTAAAATTTCTATTCTGTTTAAAGAAAAGGCCAGGTTTATACATTAAACCAGCCAACCAAACAAAACAACAAAGAACAAACAAGCAAGCAAACAATACCTACTAAAAAGAATTAAAATGAAAAGGCTCAGGACTTAAAGCCCTAATTCATCAGGGGAGTATGTCGTCTAAAATTCCCTAATTGTGTCCAGTACCTTGTCTTTTTACCTACCACCCTGTGTGGCCTTTGTTTTGTCTCTGTCACCGGACTGACTTCTGCAGAGACGATAGTTCTCTCTTCTCAAGATTGTCTTCAGTGGATAAACTTTCACAAGGTAGGTGATCAATAAAGCAGTACTGAAGGAATGAACAAATGAAGCCATATATAATCTTCCAGAGAGCTCTGGGTAGCTAAGGTTTGCTTGCATTATATATTTTTATGTGTTAAAATACTTTAAAACCTATGCTACCACAGCCTATCAGTGCCAGAACATTCTGTGTTTTTGGATGATGTTAATATAAATAAATCCCTGTATACCTGGAATAATGTCTTTCTACATTCAAATTAGCCAAAAATAGAGTTTAATTTGTGTAGAATCCAAATTTTAACAATCAATGATGATAGCATGCTTGTTGATTTCTCCAAACCTATGTTTTGCAATTTTGCCACTTTGTATGGATTGAAATCATTTAACACTTTTCCCTCTAAAGAATCTTTTATATTTTTATTAGGTCTTTCAACAGCATAGTTTTCAAGGGGTAAAAGGGAGATGCTAAACCTATTTTAAGAAGTTTTCAACAAACTAAGCTAATGTAAACATAGAACTACTTAGCAAACTTGTGTATTCACAGAAATCATCCCAGTATCTAAAATAAAATCTATAAAATACTCTTTAAAAAAGCAACAAGGAGCTTTTATTCACTTGTTCCTGAAAAAAATTATCTCATATAATGCAGTAAATCTAAAATATCTCTAAAGTTATCCCAGACATTCCATAGAGATAGTAATTCTTAAAATTTTTCCAACATCCTCATGCCTTAGCCAATCATTTGTTTATGGTTATCAAATAAACATAAAGAAAATGAGGCAACATTTCTTAAAGTCATGCATTTACAATTGTGTTTGCATTTTCTAAAATATATTTCTCTTAACATTTCAAAGGACAACCTTGATGGAACAGCTATGACCCGTCTTCTCTTCAGTTGAGGGCAATCAGCCATATTGTGTTTTTGTTGCTTGATTATATAAAAATCCACTGAGGCTCAATTTATAGCCCTAGGCAAGTTTTAAGTCTTAACTTTAAATGAAGGTTTTCAGAAAAGTAAAAACCACTTAGTATCTGGATGAAAGGGTAGATATTTTTCAAGTCATCTGACTACTTCATTGTCTGTATGAGAGAACCTAGAGATATCTCAGAAAGGCATGTTGAATGCTGCTACAGAGCTAGGACAAGGACACAGCTGTAGACCTTGCCTTTCTACTGCAGTGAACTACATCTGTCTGTTAGGAGACATAGTTCTCCCTGGGCTTCTTGTGCTCCTATATTTCTTGCTGTGTGTGCCAAGACTTCGAGGCCCTGACCACTCTTTGACCCAGGCCATTTCTCAGTGTTGTTCATACAGCTGGTAACCTTGAAAGGTGAGGTAATGGTTCCCTGCAGACCAAGAGGAGGCTTGCTTACTACTTGCTGTAAAAGCTCAGTGTAAACCTGCTAGATGTATGGCATCCATGTGGCCCACACTGCATCATCCTTGTGGGACTTGGGGGCAAGGTGAATTGATGCAAATATGCTGGTGTTCATGCTGCTTGCAGTGCTGGGAGTAATAAATCCTTTGTTTCTGATCTAGGAATTTCATGTCTTCTGCCAGCAATCATAAAACAGTGACAGGCTAACTTATTAACTTGTAAGAATAAAATCAAATCCCAGATGCAACACTGTCGAATTTTTGCTGGCAAATTCATGTTTACAGGTTATCACAGTACTTGATTTGATTCAGATTACTGAGAACATAACAGATTGATCCAAATGAAAAGGAAACAAAGGCTATGGTATATGTGTGTTTCCATTACTCTTTATTCTAATAAGCTATTATGCTAACTCCGGTCATAATCATTCATGTCACTGAAAAATTTATACTTGACTGACCTTAAAGTTAACTAATATATTCAGATATTTAAAGGAGTTGAAGATTTTTAGTTTTAGATCTAAGTACAGAGTTACCGTCGAATTAAAAATAAAATATGCAGAAAATAACTCAAAGTCAATGACAAAATAAGCTTCTATTTATCTCCCAAAGATTTGAATACAGAGGTTGGGTGGGTTGACAAAAAAGCTTCTGGCTATGAAAATTGCATTTCTGAATGCAAATCTAAGGCATTTAAATGAAGATTCTTAAAATATTTAAAAAGAGTGAGACAGCATTTAGTGAAACTTGTATGTTTCTCAATGAGGTCTCTAAAGAAATTAACTATTTAAAGTAATATTTAAGTCTTGGGGGAAAAAAATTCAGCCATTTATAGCGAACTGAGAGTACAGAGAGGACTGTCTATATATAGAAGAAAAAAAAGAAAAAGAACCTTGGGAATAAAGAACTCCCATTTGCCTCTGATGCTTCGTGACTTGCTCAGAGGTTTCCCTAGTGCTTCACACGGTGTCTGCCTAACAGGATGACAAGAGGGAGTGTAGTATAATGGTTAAAGCTGGAATCTGTAAATTCCAGGTTAAAATCTGAACTTAAAATCTCAGCCTCTCAACTTAGAACCAACTGGATAACCTTGGGCAAGTTACTCTTTCACTCCATATTACATCACAGAATTATTATTCGGATTACTTGAGTTAATAGATATAAAGCACTTAGGTAACCTGGCACATAGTAAATACCCAATGAACATTACCGAATATCATAGATACTCAGGAAACAAATGTAAAAATAAATTCAGTTTAAACATCTGGAGCATAAAATTTAGAAGTACAATGAATCTTAGACATGATGTAGTTTAGTCCAATCTCTTCATCTTGTACATAAGAAATTTCCTCAAGTGTCAAAGCTATTAAGAACGAAGCCAGGTTTGCCACTTCAATGCTTTCAGTGTACAATGCACCTCATAACCATTGCCTCTTTCTCTAGTTTGAAAGGGAAAATCCCATTCTCCCCTTCTTCACAAACTTGCTTCACTAGCAATCCCAACCATTTTTTAAATTAAAAAATATGAGATATTAATATATACCTATATACATGTATTTATGCATGCCTGCATGTGTGTACCATGTTATATATAAACCTGTATAAATTGCTGAATCCAATACTAAAATCTATAGACATTATAGTACACAGTACTTCTCTTCCAGAAGAATAAAGCACTTACTTACTGGCACCACAAACAACACAACCAAAGAGACGCTAACACTTAGGTGGTGGCTAACAATTTGTGCTTGCATTCTTCATTCATATGGTCCATGTATCAACCTAGTCCTTTTTTTTTTTTTTTTTTTTTTTTCCTTCTAGGGACTTAGTTTCTTGGAAAAACTACCACATTTCCAACATTTTTATTTATAAAGCATTCCATACTTTCGGTTGGGGCTTCCAAACAGGCTATTTTCAAAGCACAGGAGGCATTTTCCAGGAGCTGCATGCATGTATTTAACATATATTAACAATGACTGCTTGTGTATTAACTATAGGTTCTGAGACACATCACCTCTCATCTCTTGCATTTACTGTCTGAAGTGGGAGGAACGATTTAACAAGGAAGCAGCTGCGAGAACAAGGAACAAATCTGAAGCCAAGTGACTTCTTAGAGTTGAGTAGTAAAATATACTGTGCAACTAACAATTATATAAAGAAATGAAGCTTCAGATATGACAGGTGTGCTCTAAGTTGACTATTTTCTGCAATGGAAAATACAAAAAACTAACTTTACAATGAAAAATGCTATATTATTAACACAAGGAACTGCAGAACATACATTTTCCTTCTCCATTCCCATTTTCTGGAAGCAAATTAATAGGGGCTAATTGAGATGTAAAAGACAGGCTTATTTTACTCCCATAATGGTATCCTCCTTCTTGTTTTCTTCCTCATTTTGTAATTGTTAGAAAATGGTCATAATAAAAGCATCAAAATAGCAACGTTCTTACATATGTGAGCCTATTTATTAGCCCTTTCTTCTTTGTGGTCGGTGATTCCATGAGTTAAGATGGATAGATGGTCTTAAAATAATTGTATATGTTTGGTCATCAGGGAAAAAACATAGAATGCATGGGTTTATTTAATTCAATAAATCTGACCATAACAAAAACCTAATACTAGAAGAAGAAAAAAATGCAGATCATTTTTGTACTAGTGAAGAGTAAGAAATATCATCTATTACTGGATGCAAGATACTTGGCACGTAAATCTTTCTTCTTTTCCTATGACCTAATAAGTGTTTAAGAGAAAACCATACTTAGATGCTCGTCATTATTCAAGAACAAAGTAGACATTTCTTATTTGTGAAATAAAACTTCTTATGAGCCAAGAAGCAAGCCCTAAGAGGTTAGTCGAATCTTCCCATTCACTCAAAAATATTTGAGTGCGTCTTTTGTGACAGATGCAAGTTCTAGGAGCCAAGGATGCAGGTAATAACAGTGAACAAAACATAAAAAAATCCTCATCATCATGAAACTGACTTAGTAAAGATAGAAAATTTTTAAATAAAATATATATTGTTGGATATCACCAAACGGTAGGAAAAAAATAAAGCAAGAAAGTGGGTTGGGAATGTATATGTGGGGACAAGGAAAAGAAATGCAAATTTAAATATGGTAGTCTGGAAAAACATCACTGAAAAGGTAGTTGAGCAAGAACTTGAAGGAAGTGAGCATGTGGATATCTGGGGGAAGTGCAGGTAAGGCAGAGGGGATAGCAAGTGCAAAGATCCTGAGGTAGGAGCATGCTGGAGATGTTCAACCATTGTTGTGCTTGAGCCCATTGTTGCAGCTACTTTGTCAATCCATCTTATTGAAGGTCTTCCTCTTTTTCACTGACCTACATTACCAAGCATGATGTCCTTCTCCAGGGACTGAACCCTCCTGATAACATGTCCAAAGTATGTGAGACAAAGTCTCGCCATCCTTGCTTCTAAAGAGCATTCTGGCTGTACTTCTTTCAAGACAGATTTGTTCGTTCTTTTGGCAGTCCAACACCATAATTAAAAAGGCATCATTTCTTCTTCAGTCTTCCTTATTCATTGTCCAGCTTTTGCATGTATATGAGGTAACTGAAAACACCATGGCTTGGGTCAGGTGCACCTTAGTCTTCAAGGTGACATCTTTGCTTTTTAACACTTTAATCTTTTGCAGCAGATTTGCACAATGCAACGCATCATTAGATTTCTTGACTGCTGCTTCCCTGGGCATCAGTTGTGGATCTATGTAAAATGAAATCCTTGACAACTTCAATCTTTTCTCTGTTTATCATGATGTTGCTTATTGGTCCAGT